CACCACGGGCACCCTGTCGTGGACGCCGAAGGCCACGAAACACTGTAAAAAACTATGTTTTTGAACATTTTTCGAACATCCAGCGCAAGATACATATAAATCTGTCGGGCGGATTCGGGCGGGGGTCGACCGGGGGTATACCGGGGGTCGGTCGGCGGCAGGGGCGGCGAGCGTATATAACCTTCGGTTACCAACCGAAGGCCTCCGGCAAGGGAACGTGCGCGTGGCCGGCGCCCGGATTTACCAGGCTACCGCCTGCAGCCGCCGACCCCCAAGGGATAGAACCTTAGCGCTAGCAAGGCCTAGCCTTAGCCTTAGACTTAGCCTTAGCCTGACCGCCAAAAGGTTACCAATTTTTGGGGGAAATCTGGGAACCTAAAAACAAGAGGAAGTGCTAGAAAATTCTTGGAAAAGCATCCAGCCGAAAACACAACAAAATCTAGACAAAGCCTAGAGCATTCCTAGGAAAATGCTAGAAAAGCCTTTGAAAATCCCATAAATCCAACAGAAAACGTGACAAAATCTACGAAAAAGCAAGGGCATTGGCCGGGACCACGCCGCGACCAGCCCGGGATTCGAGCCCAGGACCATTTTGGACCGTGCTTCTTTTCCCGCGCGGGTGGAGAGGGTGCCCCAAGATGTAAATCAATTGGGATGGCAGAATCTTGGACAACCCAGGTCGCAATCACGTCGCTTTTAGGTCGGGATTTCGTCACTGCAACAAAGGTCCGGAGGGGTAGGGGAGGTAAGGTCTAAGGCTAAGGCTACGTCTAAGTCTAAGGCTGAGGCTAAGGCTTAAGTCTAAGGCTAAGGATTAAGGCTAAGGCTAACATCGACAGTCACGCCTCACGCGTGGGGTCAGCGGATTACCGGGCAGTGGCTCAAATAGTAGCAGAGAAATGTCCTCCCTTGTCGGGGAGGCTGACATGGGACTGGCCTGCGTTGTCATGGCTACTGCTGGCTTGCATCTATTACCATAGGAAACCGGATGTGTCTACCGCACAGTACCTGCAAGGGAGCCTGCTAACCTTTCCCAACAAACGCGTCTCCGTCACTTCCGTGTTCCCCCAATGAACCATATCCACCACAGCAATGAAGGTCGCCCCACCACCAGGAAGAGTTGGCGGAGGTTTTTGAACACGGCTAAAAGAAATTATGTGCATATAATGTATTTAGAATACAGCTGACCCAACCTTCAGCCATCTCCATGCGACCATTGCCGCGTGTGGAAAAGGTCCCCTGCGTGCTTGTCCTGGTTTTCGTTTCCTCCTTCTCAGGTTTGCTTGCATAGCTGGCTCAGGGCCTTGCAATCGTCGATTGTGGGATTGTAGCCAGTTTCTTTGTCACATTCTTGAACGCAAAGAGATTGTTCAACAGAGATGTTTTTCCCGAATGCGTAGCGAAGGGTTCTCGTTTAACTCTTGGGGGTCTGGAGGTAGAGCCTTGTTCGCGACCCGTTGCTTCTATGTTCGCAACCGTCCGCAACCGTCCGCAACCGTTCGCAACCGTCCGCAACCGTTCGCAACCGTTCGCAACCGTTCGCAGTAGAGCGCTAAGGCGCTGCCATTGGGGGAAGCTTTTGCAAGTGACTTTTCATGGATGTGTCACGTGTCAGTTTGCGCCGCTATTCCATTGTGATTTGCACGAAAATGAGATGTCGCGCAAGAAACGTGATGCGTTTCGCTGCACAGGCGCAGCGTTTTGTGAGATCAGCAGATTGCTGCGCAGTTCCATTGGGATTAGCGTTTGGAGAGTCGTGTTTTTGGGGTGTTGGATGTGGCCGTGCCATTGGGATTTGCGTTTCAGGGTGTGGCATCGAAGCTCTGTTTTCGTGACAAGTCTCAGCTGAAATGCCGATTTTGGTGGATGGGAGTGTGCTCAGAACGGGTCGAAATCATTGCAAACGTGTGGTGTGGTGCAAATTTTGTTGAAGCTCACATGAGATGACATTGTTACTTTTCGTGGCAGGCGCAGTACTTTGTGCGGGTTTTGAGGTGTGGAAGTGGGATTTTCGTGGCAGGCGCAAGGAACCGTGAGGTTGCGATGTGTGACGGAGGTGACATTTCGTGGCAGGCACAGTACTTTGTGCGCGTTAGGCGTGTGGACGCGGAAAGATTCGTGGCAGGCGCAGGGAATCGGGAGGTTGTGCGTTGTGGTAGAGGTGAATGTCGCTGTCGCATTGGGATTGGCGTGTGAGCGGGTGTCGTTTGGAGGGGCTGGACTCGCGAAACTGCTTGGCAGGGCTGCGTGATGTGGGTGCTCCGATGGGTGTTTCCGCTGGACTTTTGGAGGAAGTCTCGTGCGAAACGTTCGTTTTGCAGACTTTGACATGTGAGTTTTTGAGGAAGTCTCGTACGAAACGCTCGTTTTGGGGACTTGACATGTGACTTTTGGAGGAAGTCTCGTACGAAACGCTCGTTTTGGGGACTTGACGTGTGACTTTTGGAGGAAGTCTCGTATGAAACGCTCGTTTTTGAGACTTGACGCGTGACTTTTGGAGGAAGTCTCGTAAGAAACGCTCGTCTTGCAGCCTCGCAGCGTGACTTTTGGAGGAAGTCTCGTGCGAAGAGTGTGCCCTACAGGAGTGTCCCACAAGAGTGTCCTACAAGAGTGTCCCACAAGAGTGTCCTGCAAGAGTATATCCCACAAGAGTTTCCTACAAGAGTGTCCGACAAGAGTGTCCCACAAGAGTCTCCTACAAGAGTGTCCCCACAAGAGTGTCCCACAAGAGTGTCCCGTATGAGTGTCCCACAAGCGTGTCCCACAAGACAAGTGTCCCACAAGAGTGTCCCGTATGAGTGTCCCACAAGAGTGTCCCCCATGTCCCACAAGAGTGTCCTAAAGAGTGTCCCACAAGAGTGTCCCGTATGAGTGTCCCACAAGTGTGTCCCACAAGAGTGTCCGACAAGAGTGTCCCAAAAGAGTGACCCACAAGAGTGTCCTACAAGAGTGTGCAACAAGAGTGTCCCGTAAGAGTGTCCCACAAGAGTGTCCTACAAGAGTGTCCCACAAGAATGTCCTACAAGAGTGTCCCGTAAGAGTGTCTCACAAGTGTGTCCCACAAGAGTGTCCCGCAACCATGTCCCACAAGAGTGTCTCACAAGAGTTAAGAGTGTCCCACAAGAGTGTCCTATAAGAGTGTCCCACAAGAGTGTCCCACAAGAGTGCCCTACAAGAGTGTCCCACAAGAGTGTCCTACAA